GGAGCAGGGAGCCCGATGTGGGGCTCGATCCCAGGACCCTGGGATCATAACCTGAGCCGAAGGCAGACGCTTAACCATCTGAGCCACCCAGGCGCCCTGAATATGGATATTATGGTCTTGAATTACTACCCTAGTTTAGCATATTATTTCATTATTTACCTTTTAAAGTATTGATGCTAGACACAAAATGCAGAATGAGCTGCAATTGAAGTTTGATTTATCATCTAAATATATTTCCCTAAACAGAAATGATACTGTATGCTGTTGTAAACAGAACCAGAATTAACAGGTTACCACTCTGAATAAATGCCAACATCAGTATGGCAATGACCAAACAGTCAAGAAGAAAAACTGACAGTCTGCTTTCGGGGTCTACTGACCCATCTTAAAAAATTATGCAGAGAATAGTCTTAAGAGAAACAGGTTTCATTTACTTCTACTTCTGTTTAATAATTCGGTATAATGTTTATAGAAAATGTTAAATCTAGTGTTTGCTTTTTAAAAATTCAAAGGAGGGGCGCTGGGTGGCTCAGATGGTTGGGCGTCTGCCTTCGGCTCAGGTCATGATTCCAGGGTCCTGGGATCAAGTCCCGCATCGGGCTCCCTGCTCAGCAGGAAGCCTGCTTCTCCCTCTCTCTCTGCCCCTGCTTGTGTTCCCTCTCTCAATGTCTCTCTCTCTGTCAAATAAATAAAATATTTAAAAAAAAAAAAAGAAAGAAAGATTTGTCTACTTTTCTAATAAAATTTTTAAATGCTTCTAAATACATCTCAAAAAGTTCTGACATTTCTCTTCAGTTCAAATTTAACAACAACTTAAAGAGAATTCTCCAACTAAGACTGGTAATAAATTCTTAAACATTTAACACTATCCATTTATTTTCCAATATAACTTATTTAAATTAATTTTTAAATGAGAAAAACCAAGATTCCTGTCAATATAGTTAACAGAATACTGTATAAAGTAGGAAAAAACAGAGGTGCCTGGCTGGCTCAGTCGGAGAAGCAAGCGACTCTGGATCTAAGGGTCATGAGTTCGAGCCCCACATCAGGTGTAGAGATTACTTAAATACGTATGTACATAAACTTTTACGAAAAGAAAAAAGAAAGACTTCAAAATCAAACCCGGCTTCAACTCTTCGTTCTATCATGTCTATGCAACCTTGGGCAAGCTCTTTAAGCCGCAGTTTCCTCAATTCTGCTGAGGTAATTTCTTTGGAGCACCTGTGAGACTAAGACCACTTATGTATTGCATTTAAATACAGTGGGTGCTCAAAACTGTAATTCATCAATCTGTGTATCTAAATTTTTCACTTTTAACTTTGAAAAACAAAAAGTCCTCCTCCCTTTATCATAAACTGTAATCTATATGGCACCTTTTCCATAGGTAAAATTTCTATTGAAGAAAAATTCAGGGGTGCCTGGGTGGCTCAGTGGGTTAAGCGTCTGCCCTCGGCTCTGGTCATCATCCCAGGGTCCTGGGATCGAGTCCCACATCGGGCTCTCTGCTCTATGGAGAGCCTGTTTCTCCCTCTCCCTCCGCTGGTACATGCATGAGTACTCCCTAATAAATAAAATCTTTTAAAAAATAAAATAAAAATAAAGAAAATTTGAGAAAAAGACAGTGGGAAAATTTTTTTTTTTTTTTTTTTAAAGCAAGCTCCACACCCAACATGGAGCTTGAACTTAAAACCCTGAGATCAAGAGTTGCATGTCTATGGAATGAGCCAGCCAGGTACCCCACTGCTTTTTCCTTTTTAACAGTTACTAAAAGCTTTCTGGGTTTTTTTTGTAAGATTTTATTTATTTGTCAGGGAGAGAAAGCACAAGCAAGGGGAGAAGCAGGCAGAAGGAGAAACAGGCTCCCTGCTAAGCAAGGAAACTCATGTGGGACTCCTGACCTGAGCCAAAGGCAGATGCTTAACCGACTGAACCCCCCAGGCGTCCCAACAGTTCTACAGGTTTTACAGTTATGTTTCCTACCTCAACTTACTAATACCATACAATACAGAACTCACAGTGGAAAATGTATTTCTACTCATTACGAAGATCTACACATGCTAAAGTGAACAGAAGCAAAGAACACAAAGACTGAACCGTGTAGTACTAGTTGAGTTTTTAAAAAAAACAGAACTGGGGAAAGGGTAAACATAAGCAAACACACCAGGATATGCATAGTATGTGTCTGGAGAGTTACACACTAGAAACTGTTAAGATAGGCTATGTTTGGGGCAAGGAAATTCTCAGGAACCGTAGGGGGAAAAAACTTAGCTTTTCTATATGCATGTATTACTTTTTAGGGAAAATTTATGGTTATTTTTCAAATTGATTTTCTAATTTAACACAGAATGTAACCATCACACTTAGAGTTCAATTAATTGCACTAACAGGCAAGACAGGAAAGTTATACATGAATATGGTTTTTTTTTT